AAAGACATTATATGAAGTTAGTTCCTTATTTAGGGTTGGTACCCTGAAGGACTTTTATTTTCTCCGTTTTGGCTTGGTATGTTGCCAGGATCTTTTGTGAGCGGGTAAAGTACACGTATTGGTGTTCTACCTAAATACGTAATTCAATTTCACTCGAGGTGTGGGTTGTTTCTTGTTTGCATAACATGTCGAGTTCTTATATGCTTTGATATTTTTTGGTTTGATAGCATGTGTATTTTAAGTACAACGCCATCTGTTAGCAGCAATCAATATTATGTTAAATCAAGCGGAAGGTCCAACTACCACACTTTTACCGCATCGGGGCGTATGGCGCCACCTTACTGGAGAAATTATAGTAGGCGCGTTATCGCTCAAGGTCATCGACGCTTGTCAGCGTCTTAAATTTAATTTAAATGATAGGGTCATTGTGGCGACCCTTGGGGGAGGTCTATGTCCAGCAGTGGAAGTCTTTCGGCTGAAATTATGATGATGTTGACAGGATAGAGGCAAAATAAACAAATCTACTAGTTACCTTAGAAATAGCATGGTTCCAAAGTAAATGATTCTATTTGACTTATAAATGTTTGTCCATTGACTTACAATTATATGGACGTCGGGTCCGCGCTAAAAAGTGTCCGAACTTGTAAGGCGCTAAAATCGTATACAGAGCGCGAGACACTCCGCTTTAGTCTTCGTTTGTTCTACTGACAGCGCGATACTGCGATGACATTACAATTTAAATTTCGAATAGGTTGACTTGGGACATTTTTTTCGTGGTTTTTGTATTAGACCCGTCGTCCATTTATTTGTAAGTCAATGTGTTTGTCACGTTTGTTGATAACAAAATAAATTTGTTTTCCTTTTCTATAGTATTTTACATACTTAAAAAAAGGCGGTAAAATAGACAAAAGTATGCACTTAGAAGTTAATTTTTAACCGATTTCATAAAAAGAAGGAGGTTCTCAATCCGACTGTATGTTTTTTTTTGTACGTATGTTACGCGATAACTCCGGTATCTGTGAATCGATTTTCATGATTCTTTTTTTGTTGGAAAGAGTGTACCTCCATAGTGGTCCCTTTTTATTTTGAAGAAAATCATCCACCTCTAACGGTGGCTGATCACGCAAGCACATTCATTATTATAAATAGCGCTTAAATTTTACTTAAGGAGCGATTATTTTAATGGTTTCTTTTGCTATTCTCCAATTCAAGGCGTTTTTCTCTCAATAATTTTGAGTAGTGAGAACCGATTTTTATTATCTCCTGTGTCAAGTCCTCTATAGTGGCAACTAGGGGATTTTCCAATAAGACTTGACAAATAGATGTAATTCCACGTACTTTTGAGGTCGGTCTTTTTAGTACTCTGTACTGAGATTATTGTCATTTCTATTTTTTTGTATTGTTTAGATTTTCTTTGAAAAAATGAGTTCTAGTGAGAATAGCGAAAGTACAATAACGGATTGTCCGCCACTTTAAATTAATCAAGAAGGAAAATTTGTCATGGAATATTAATTATTTTTTACTTTTTCTATTATATATTCTTCATTGTTTAGTCTTTATTTAAACGCATTGTTTGAGAAAAGCTTGTATACGCTTGAGCGGGAACGTGGATTGCTTGACTCATATGTGTTTAATGTTTAATTGAACTTTGTATATTGTCAAGTAGAAAATTATGTATTTAATTGAACAAGGTATTTTTTCTTTCTTTAATTATTTAATAGAGTGCTTTTGATTTAAGCGAAATCGTAGTTTCGTACCAGAATGTTCCATCGTGATCCCTACAACCATAGTAGAACAAGAACCAAGTATGCTAACTCCATATTAAACGTCGCAGCGAGGCTTGGATGTGTGCGCGCCCGACTGCGAGGTGTGCTGCGCCGTTTACGGATACGCCCACAAGACGATATTTCCATAACTTAAGCGGCCAGTTACATGAGAAGAAAGTTTTCGCGCGGCCGCCACGTTATCACCGTTACCGTTACCGCCCAGTTACCGCGCCTTCATGTACATTAATGGCGAATCTGAATTGTATTTATTATGCAACAACATTAAAATTCCTGTTAATAAAATTACCGCGCGGCCGCCGCATGACCGCCGCTCGGCCGCTGTGTAGACCAAATTCAAGCCAGGCTAGCCCGCGTGGCCGGAACGCTCATTTAAATTAAAACGTAAAAGCTAAATAAATAGAGCGTATTTTGCCATGACCTCCGCTCTTTGACTCCGAATTCGTGTCGAATAAAATGCGCCCCAAAAAAATGCTCTAGTGTTGCACAACACTGGTCGTCTCAATGCGTATTTCATTATTATGCGAATGTGTGTGTCCGTACACGGTTGTGTGTTCATAGAAGCCGCGCTGTTATTGGGTACGGAGATGCCCTTGTTCTTGTTCTTATTCTACTATGCTACAACGTTAGTTTTTAAGCAAATAACAATCAATCTAAGAAATTAAACCACACGCATTTTGTACAAATTTTTGCTAAATCTTCTACTTTATATTTTTAGGTATACAAATGATTTGTCATTTTTAAACTGTGTGGACTGAGTCGCCATCGAATTCTTAATAACTTTCACAAAAATGACAAGAAAAATAATGCGTACGTTTAAATTTCAATGATTTGCACGTTGTTGACAAATTTTGTTTGTGTGAACTGAGGGGCCAGTGAAAAACAGTTGTATTTTTTTAGCAATGCTCTATGTTCTGTTATTTTTGGTAAAAAAAAATTAAATACATCTTTTTTAAATGTTCGTACGGAAAGTACGAGCGCAAACTTTATAGTTTCCCGGAGAAATTAAGGGCCATATATAATTTATTGAGCTGTAACTTTAGATAGATAGATGTACACTTTATTGCTCGCCCATAAGAACAAGAACAGGACATAAACAACTTAAAACTAATGTGGACAAAAGCGGTCTTATCGGTAAGAGCGATCTCTTCTAGAACCTTGAAAGCTAATCGGAGCAGGAGATGTAGTGTGCCAATGTACAAATAAAAATGAATTATATAAATAAAAAAAGAAACTTATAATTTATCAAACTAACATAATATTTATAACGTAACTTTTTTATTTATTTTTTTCAAAATCCAGGACGCTTTCTACAATGTTTTATAAGTACTTCTAAAACTTGGAGCACTGCATTTGCAAATTCGTCATGAGGCCACTCAGTGTCCAAACAAATATTTCATTCATCCATTCGGAGTTACTAAATTTTGGATGAATGAATGAATCTCGGAATATTGTAATAATATTTATTAATATTATATTAATATTAATATTTATTATATTGTATGAATATTTTAAGCAAGCTTCCCTCTTATGGGCTTCCCACTGACCTTTGCAATTGGATCTCGGATTTCTTGAGCGAACGTTCGATTCGAGTGGTCTTAGAAGGCTACTCTTCCGAACATATGGCGATAGATGCCGGAGTTCCTCAGGGTTCCGTACTGTCTGCAACTCTCTTTCTGCTGCATATCAATGATATGTTAATTCCAGGTACCTTTGCGTATGCTGATGACAGCACAGTTGTAGATAGGTACTTGACCAATGCAAGGGTCAGTGGAGAGGAAATCCAGTCTTGTCGAGAGTCCATGGTTAGCCGTTTAGATTTGACACTCCAGGCAGTCTCCGATTGGGGCAATGCCAATCTTGTCAAATTTAACGCTACCAAAACGCAGGCGTGTCTATTCTCCACAAAACGGAGTCCCTTTGAGCTGACTCCGACTTTTCGTGATATATCCATACCGATAGCCGATTGTCTCCAGCTACTTGGAATGGACCTGTCGTCCAATTTGAACTTCGGCAGATACATTGAATCCACGGCCAAAAATGCAGCAAGGAAGCTTGGGATCCTTTCCAGGGTGAGGCGGTACTTTACACCGGGACAGTTGCTCCAGCTGTACCAGGCACAAGTCCGATCGTGCATGGAGTACTGCTGCCACCTTTGGGATGGCTCTGCGACATATCAACTGGCCACTTTGGATTCAATTGACAACCGTGCCAAGAGACTTATAGGTGACTCGGAATTAGTGGAGGCGAAGCTGCAGAGCCTTGAACACCGCCGTAAAGTTGCCTGCTTATCGGTATTTTACAGGATATATCACGGAGAGTGTGCGATGGAATTACATGATTTAATTCCGCCTTCCCCTTTCCATCACCGGGGGACTAGGCGTAGGCTTGGGTTCCACCCCTATGTTGTGGATATTCCAAAGATTCGCACGAAGCGTTACGCTTCCACATTTATATGGCGAACGGCTATGGAGTGGAATTCCCTGCCTGCAGACTTGTTCCCTGAACGTTATAACTTGGACCTTTTCAAGGCGAGAGTGAATAGGCATTATTTAGGTGTGCATGCTCCATCGTCGACCTCATCGTCACTTTCCATCAGGTGAGATGGAGGTCAAATGCGCACCTATATTTTATAAAAAAAAAAAAAAAAAAAAAAAAAATATTGTATTATTCGTAGTTTTGATAGTGGTAGTCATAGTCAAATAGGGGCAATAGTATTCTATTGCACAATAGAATATGATTTTTTTTATGATACCAAGTAATAGTACGAATAAGTCGTGCGCCTGGCGCTAAGCGACACACGCCTGTCCATAACAATTGCAGTGCCACTCAAGAGCTTTAAATCGCACATAAGTTGACAAGTCCCATGTGCCTGTAATTTCACTAGCACCCTTACCCTTCAGAACCGAAACACAGTAATGCTCACATTACCTACTGCTTGGCGGCAGAAATAGGTAAGGTGACAGTACTTCCCTGGACGAACTCTTTCACGAGGAGCTCTGCCGGTACTAAAATTATAATAACGTGATTGAAACGTCACAATCATTATATCAGTGGCTAGTATTTACGGTCCCACGTCTTAGTTAAATTTGTACTTGATTGATTGTAATGATGTTTTGCGAAAAGGCTTTGCTTCGAGCATTCCAATGGGTTTGCGTGATACTAATAATAATATACAGTAAGTAGTGAACTCACAGCGTTTTCGAGAGTTTCAATTTTGACGTGGAATTTTTCACAGTAGGTACTGTTAACCCAGGTGTACGCCCTTTTGCTTAGAGTTACCGACTGCGCCATTATATACATCTCCACTGTCACCAACGGCACCATTATGATTACGTACTGCGTAATAAATTAATGGATTTGAAATACTACCACTTATTTTGAGCTAGTAGCCCTGAACTTGTAATCAAAAATGCGTCTCCGCCTCCTGGATGTCTATTAAAGACGTTTCACGCTTATTATCTACCAAGAAATAAATACAAACCGCCATAAGTACAGGCTGGAATCTTGTAACCAAACCGAGGAACCCGCATGCAGCCATTATGACGATGACTACGCCGACTATGAACATCAAAATTCCCTGTACGATGAACCCTTGCACGTTCAGTAAGGCGTAAAAGGTGAGAAATCTTACGAAACCTGCACCCAAACCTCCGATTACTAGACCCAGAATCTGAAACGTGGAAAAAGAATCAGCTGTTCAGTATATTTTGGTCGCGTAGGTACGTATAAACAGATTTAAACATCAGAATTATTTTTGCGATTACGGAGAGATCCCCATAATAAAATTTGTTCCAAAAATCTCGTACACATTTCGAGGTCGCCCAGTGTCTTTTGTATAAGGTGACATTTTAGTAAACGTCGAAATGGACTAACAGACGCTCGCTGGAACTTACTGTAACTGATGGCTAAATAAAAAAATCATTGTCTCAGAATATGTAACTGATTACCCCCAGTAGCAAGTGGTTGATAGAAAATGAATTAAATATATACATACAAAATCGATATAGGTATTTAATTATAAAAACTCGACTACTGTGAATTGAAGTAGCTGATTATCAACTATTTTAGCTTTTCATTTACTTTTTGTATGTTAGTTTTTCACTAAGTAACAAAAAATCACTATCATATATATGAATAAAATAATAATTATATGTTTAGCAATAAATTGTAATAAAACAAAAAAATTCGAGTTTAAAAGTTGAAATCACAATTCTATGAAAAAAATGTATGTACTTTCGAATAATATAATATAACTTCCGTAAGAAATACTTACTATCGTACCTATTTATGTATTACTTGTCACTCGTTTATTTGTATACGTTGAAATGGTTTAACACGCACTTACTTTTATGAAAGTTTGCTTTTAAATTTATAAGTAGGTAATAGGTAATTTTCGATAAAAATGGCTAAGAACAATTTTCGGTAAAATATAAATTAGGTTGATAGAATAGTATTAGGTACGTATAATAATTGTTTTCAGAGGTTTTAGTATTATTATAAAAGTTTTCGGTAGCTAAGTAAATAACATAGTAATAATCATAGTCTGAATAAGGTCATTTTTAATTTACTTTTAGGAGCTTTTATAAGATTAGTTATGAAGTAATTCAAGTTGACGTCATTTTTACACCCATGAGAATGACATGCCACTTCTACAAATGGCAGCTAATAATAAAGCTCGATGGCAGATAAATGTACTACCATCGAGTATATAACTATACTCGATGTGTACTCCATGTTTGTCGATATATTGTTTCATTACGGGGATGTCTTCGGACACACGTCGCCTGCGAGAGGTCTTTATTTAAGAACTCCAATAGTGCGACAGTCGTAAAAATATAGCTTATCCATTCGACACAGATCGACTTATTTATATTTTGTTAAATATGAGTTGTGGCGCTAGGGTCCATGTAATTGTTTTATAAAGAAAGCAGTGGTCTATTCAGTTGACGGGTATTAACTTAGTATAGTGTAAGTTTAGTTACCGAAAAGATACGCCATCAACTAACACCAAACAACAGTTGATGTTAATGCCATCTCACAAATAAATTGGTTGATCTGTATTGACATGATATAATTTCGTAAGACGTATTATTATTCTCCGGGGCTTCTTTGTAGGCTCAATTCACATCGCCGCGGAACGGAACGGAAGCGAAGTTGTGTAAGGAAACTGTACATGGCAAAATGAACATTATGTCAGTCGTGTAATGTACTAAACTAGATAAGATATTAAGTTTTATTGACTGTCAGGATGTTTCACCAGCATGATATTCAATGATTTTTTGTGAAATTACTCCATAAGTGGTGAAACATTCTGTCATTCAATAAAGTAAATTAGAATTATTAAAGCGACATCCAGTCAGCTGCTGGCAGGTGTAAAGGTACCTGGTCGAGTGAAGAAATAGATTTCTCACAGATGGCGCTACGTCAAACACAAAGATCTGCAACAAGCACACAGAAAAATTCGTGAGGTCCGCAGGTTCGTTCCGTGACTTGGCATAGCGTCTAGCACGGATTGTCGGAAGACGTAGGTTCGAATCCAGCCGGATCGTAGGATTTTTTCTTGGTGTTTGATCTTTGTATTAATAATTATACATAAGAGATGTTAGGTCCGGGAAATTCCGAGACTGCGTGAAAATTTTCCAGAAGAAACGCGACCTGTTTTTCGGCTCATATCTATTTATTTGTATGTTACACAATTTACAAAGTTCAATATGCTATGGTTACAAAAGTTCGCTTTCAATCCGTTCCGCGGCAATGTAATTTGAGGCATATTCTATAGAAAATTGTACTTACCCCTAATATGATACTGGTGATAATTAGTAAAAGCTTAAAAATCTTTGTCGCCGCGCCCATTTTTGTGTTTTACTACTTTTCAAGTTTTTTTTGTCAGGCAGGTCTCTGAAGGTAATAATGGTTAAGAAAAAATAAAAAATAACAGTACACATGATTTTCATTAAAACTGACTTAGTGTTATTGGTTCGTTAACAAATTTTAACGGGCTAATATGATCAAGTAATTTACAGTATACGGGATTTTAATCTACATATACGTACCTAAATTACACTAGTATAAAATTTATGACTAAACGAAATTACCAAGTGAAAGTCTATCGTGATTTCTCGAAGCACTTCGTCGTCAAGTACTTTAAAAATACTAATAACAGCGCGTGGAACTTATCGCTCATGCACTAATTGACAGAAGATAAATAAGAAATTAGATATAGGCGGTCAAGAGCAGGTCAAGCTTGACAACATAAAAATGCTGTATCTACATCTAAATGATGCATTTTAAGGTCCATTTCAGTGGCTAAGGCAAATAAAGTTCGCAACGATGAATGACTGACCACCGGAGAAAAAGTCTCGTGGTAATCTACACCCTCCACTTGGTTAAAACCTTTTATCACTAGTCTGGCTTTTTACCTTGTGACATTACCATGTGCGTCTGTCTTTAACTTATATAACCATTTGCATGGAATTATTTTTGTATTAGGTCTGTCCACCAGCTTCCACGTCTTAAGCTTCATCAGCGAGTCGTACTCATTTTGCATGGCTGCTCTACATTTATCAGCATCATTGACTTTGTTCGCTTCAAAAACCGTTCCAGGTTTTGGAACAGTTTTAGACGTACTTGGTTCTTTATTTGATTTGTTGTTCTTTAAGTTTGTGAAGCAATCTTCGAAGAATGTGACGTCACGAGATTTTGTAAACCTTCTCGGATATCGGGGGTCTTGAAATATGTAGCTATTCGGGTCATCCGAATATCCAACAAAGATATGCTCCACAGCTTTCATATAAAATTTCTTACGTTGGCAATCAGGTTCATGAATTAATGCTCGACATCCGAAAAGTCTAAGGTTACTTAGATTCGGTTTACAGTCATAAATTTTTTCAAAAGGAGTTATTTTATTAAGCGCACGATGGGACGACCTATTTTTCAAATAAACTGACGTTTGTATCGCGTCTTCCCAAAACGCTTTCGAGAGAGAACACTCTGCCAACTTGTAAGTCAATGCTGCCAACATAGAACGTGCTTTTTCAACTACTGACCTTATAGTACGTCCAGCAACGCCATTTTGTTGCGGACTGTACGCCACAGTCGTTTGATGTACAATACCATTAATACGAAAATGATCAGATAATTCTGTTGACATATTCACCTCCACTATCTGTCCTAACAACTTTTATTTGAGCTCCAGTCTGCTTTTCCACTAATTTTTGGAAACGACAAAACTTGTCTTTTTCATCTGTATTCGAATACTGAGTCTTAATACTGGGTCTGCTGTTAATAAAATAAATGACGTAATTTATGTAGCTGATTCGAATAGTAATTTGATATCTGTTTATAAAGCTGTTGGAAAAGGTTTCACTGTACTTTTTGATAAAAATGGTTGTAATTTTTATAACTCTGATACTTTTTCTTTTGTCGGTGACTCTATTCTTCACGGTTCGCTCTATAGAGGACTGTACAAACTTGATTGTACTACCAATATTCCTCGTGATGTGCCTTGTGATGTGCACTCTGACTCCGCAGGTAGTTACCAGGTATGGCACAAGCGTTTGGGTCATCTGTGTCGCATTGGTATGAACCATTTGAGGAACTATCATGTAGGTGTAGAGTTTACAGAAATTGATAACCAGAGCAGTGTTGCCTGTGTGCAAGGTAAACACTCTCGGAAACCATTTAAAAGAATAGCGTACAAGACCGCAACTTCAGTGTTGGAGCTGGTACACAGCGACATCTGTGGACCGATGTCAGAAACCTCTTTACAAGGTAACAAGTATGCTTTATTATTTGTAGATGACTATAACGCTTTATTTTTATATATTTTATTTCTTCAAAGACAGAGGTAAAAGAAAAGTTTTTTTGAGGTTATTATTAATGGCTAATATAATTTAAACATTTTACAGAGGGTGCTCACTCAATCCACACATACGTACATTTCCGAGCATGTTCGAGAAAAACACATTGATAACTAGGCATAACTAAAACGTAAAATAATACTAGCAAAGTCATGAACGGCTCTTGGTTGATTTTAATTATTATTGGGTCAGCTTTCGCCATCCTTCTTTAATAATTCAATACATACCTTCAATGTTGTCTGCCGAAACAGGTGATTCACACGACGGGGAGAGTTAATCGTTTCGAGGGCGGTCCTTCGTTTTTTATGAACGCTTACGTTTCAGCATCATGATTTGTTCTTCCGCTGAGCTTTATTAAACTGTAAACTCTTAAGATAAAAAACTATGTTCAGAGGCGAAGCCCTGGCCAAGGTACTTATGTAGGTTCTAGTAAGTATGTTGATCATTACGAAAGAAATAGGAGAGAAAGGTTGAAACTTTAACATTTTTATTTATCCACTGTCACTCATGCATTACCAAATCTTGTTATAAGTATTTATTTAGGGTACTTAAGGACGAGATGCGATTATAATTATTTTAACGTGGGAAGTCTATAACACGGGAAAACATACAGCTTCTTTCTCTTCTTTTTTTTGTTTATAGGCGGTGCCCTTTTTAGATTTTGTCAGCGTCAAGGTTGTAAAAATAATGTGTACATAAATATTATAAAAATTATCAATGAGCTATGTAAAGTCTTAGAAAGTCAAACTTAACGTTGCTAGGAAACCTACCACTAAGAATATATTTAGGCTTCTTGCCTGCCACAGACTATCTATACTATAGTGTATGCGTATATTTTGTCTTATTGTAATTATATTTTTGTAATTTTAGAGCACTATTTATATTAAAGAGTATATTTGGTCACGAGCATTGTTTCCGTTGCTACTGCATAGGTTGGCAGCGCCAGTAACTTTCAGTGATGGCGCCACAGTAACTTTAGTTGATGGTGCCACAATACATTATGTTGGTGGCGCCAAAAATGCAGCCCTACCAAAAACCCCCACTATACTGCTAACGTTTCTTAATTTGTGATACTCGAGTGCTCGACTTTCTGTTTGTTGGAGTCTCAGAGGAGAGTGCCTCTCATTTTACTTTACGGTGCCATATTATCGTGAAAACTGTACAATTGTAATAGTCTTCATATTAATAAACGAAGAAACAAGGAGTTGGAATTTTATTTCTGGAACTTCTTAATAATAGGTTCCCAAACTTTTTGGCTCACCGCTCACTTGGGCAAGATAAAAAAATTTCAACGCCCACCACAAAAAATAAATGAAAACATGTATTTTGTATATTAACCTAACACAAAAATTGACAAGGAAAAAATTATACATAAATATTTATTTGTAAGTCAATGCATAAATAGGTCGGTTTGATGGTTTATGTGAAAAATAACACTATTTACGATGTTTGTGAACGACAATTTATGGATGCAAATTGTCTAGTTATTAAAATAAATGAAAATTTCGTTTTGATTGCTGTCTATAGGCCACTTAGCTTTCCTAACTTAGAACATTTTTTGCTCTCACTTCATACATTACTTTTGTCATTCAATTCATTTACAAATATAGTGTTGATAGGTGATATTAACATAAATTTGCTTGATAACAATGCACAGACCACTGCCTATCTTGATACTTTGAGTTATCATGGGCTCCCATCTTTTTTTTTTAGGGGTTCAGGCGAGCAGCGAACTGCCTTCGCCTTCTCCCCGTACGTCTGCGCCGAAGCGGGTGCGCGTCCGCCGTGTCCTCGCGCAGCCTCCTATTGCGACATAACCTCTCCGTAAAAGGACGCCACCGCCTCTCAGGACTCCTCGCTACCGAGCATGACGGCCACCACGCCCGGCAGCGAGAGGTCCCGCCATATTGTCCCCGTCAGAGTACGGCGCTGCTCATCCCACCGGCTGCACACCCCTATGGTACGAGCTCCATAGGGGGGATCCGCCAAGCCCTCTTTCCACCGGTCTCGCATGCGCTGCGCCGCGAGGCGGCGCTCCCGCTCGACCTCTTGGGGAGCGGGGCGCTCGCCTCGGTCCCGCATTCCCCGCCGGTAGGCGTGGACCTCCGCCAAGACCTCGGCTTCAAGGTCCCACAGCGGAGTACCGGCGAGGACGCATGCGGGAGATGTACGACCTGCTCATTCGCAGGGCGACCACCCTCTGAGGCCTCCTCAGCAACGATTTCGTCGCCACTGATAAGGCCCCAGTGGTAAGGCTCCATGGGTTCCTACCTAGCAGTTACACGCCAACCAGAGCCAACAATTGTCTAGATCACATTATATTGAAAACTAAATTATTGGCATACTCATTTACTCTTCCGACTTCGATCACGGATCATGTGGTTATTTGTTTGTGCTTAAGTAAAGATGAAAGAATGCTTATTGCCAAATAACAAAGTGTATTGTACCGCAAGACTAATTTTGAAATGTTGCTTTCTAAATGTAAGCAAACTAGTTTTGAGCATATAGTATATACTTAGAACATAATTTGGAGTTAGCTATGGATCTTTTTATCGAAAATATATCTAAGTTAATACTAAACTATTCCTTGGCAATAAAATTACCAAGGAGTAGGGTTACGATCAAAGACTGGTAGACAATAGGTTTACTTCGATGTATTAAGAATCGGGATAGGATGCATAAAAAATTAAAAACAGAACCTAACAATGAAATTCTGAAAACAGCATACAAGAGGTACCGAAACTATTGTAATAATCTTCTAAAAAGATAAAAAAAAACAATACGTAATTAGTCAATTACTTCGGGCTAAAAATAATTCAAAGAAATTGTGGCATACTATTAAATTTGTTACAAACACTAATAAACCAAATTCAATTCCACAAGAGCTACTATCGAGTTACCATGCTGCATCAACAATCAATGAAATTAACGGGTATTTTGCTGGCATACGGGCTTGGCTTGCTAAGAAATTTTCCTTTACACCACCCTCCTTAAATGCTTCTGGTCCTATATCAGCCGACTCTTTTGTTCTTTTGCCCACGGATTGTGAAGAGGTCGAGAAAGTTATATAGGACTTGAAGGTTGACAGCTCTCCTAATTGGGTTGGGATTAGTGCAAAAGTTTTAAGAATTATCTCTAGTGTTATATAACCGGTACTGACTGACCACTTAAACATATGCATGAACAAGGGAGTCGCGCGAATTGGAAACGCACAAGAACGCGCACGCACGCACGCACCCACACACGCCCGCACGCACGCACGCACGCACGCACGCACACACACACACACACACGCACGCACGCACGCACACACACACACACACGCACGCACGCACGCACGCACGCACGCACGCACGCACACACACACACACACACACACACACACACACACACACACACACAC